CCCCATTTTCACTTAATTGTGTTTCTTACAGTATTTATATACATTGCATTTAGGATTTTTTTTTCCTCATGTTTTGGTGAATAATTGAAAGTGGATGATGGATTGGAACGAACTTATCATTGAACAGGAAAAATAAACATACTAATCATTGAATCAATTGATTAAGTGCATTAATATTATTTTTTTTAGCACTATTAATTTATGAAGAGCATGTAGGGTGTAGGACAGTGAAATTCCCAACTTAACTATGTTTGGGTCTGGCTGATGTACATATAAGATTTTTAGTTTTGGTTCAAATTCAAGATCGGATCAAGCTCGATATATTTAATTTAAATGATTTTGTTTGTAAATATTAAATAAATTTATTTGTGAATAATTAATGAATATATTCAAAATCACCTCTAATAAAGAATCTACTTGTTAATAATAAACAACCCAATAATCAAACAATCTTAAATAAACAAACTTGAAAAATATATAAATAACAATGAAAAAGAGTTATTAAAAAATATAATTATAATTATATTATTCTAATCGAATTATAAACCAGGTTTGCTTTAGATCAGATCTTAAGCAGTTTATGTAAACAATTTTTTTAAAAAAATATACAACCGATTTTATAAAAGAATAATAAACGAGCTTAATTTGTGAACTTAAGGTTATTTAGTCCAAGGTGGCACGCTCATATTGGATTCCAGCAAGGTTTGATTCGACCCCTAATACTTATAAATTTCTTTTTTTCAATTTTCCTTAGGCTTTAGATCTTATGTAAAAAAAAAAAAAAAGCTTAATTCGTAAATATATTCGTGAAACAAATAAATCAAATACAGATATTCCAACTCAAGTCATTTATTAATGAACTCTTAAATCTTAATCGAGATTGTTTACAAATTGTTTAGTAAATATATTGATTTAATTGCACCTGGCGAGATGTGTGTTAACTGTTGATTGAAAAACATATTCTTTGGTAGAATTCAACGTAAGCTTCTATTTCAGCCAAAACCAATGAAAATGCCATCTCCTTGTTTTTTTTTTTTTTTAAATTTCTTTTGCTTGGACTTGGACCCATTTATATTCCATTATACATACCAATAAGAAAACAAAGTAAAACCACTTTATTTTTCCCTTCACTTTCTGTGTTTTTGTTTCTTTTGCAAAGAAAAGGATAAGAAAGGACTATGCAGAGCTGGAAATATTGGACTCATGTGGCTTTGGCTCTTCCTATTGTAAGTTCATGTACTTCTATAGCTCAGGAAATTGAGTTCGGGTTGCCCAATCCCTTGAAAAGTATTCTCAACAAAATTTTGAGGGTTGAGTTTTTAAATTACACTTGTAGCATATTTATTTAATTATTATTATAAAAGTTTATTAATTTCATACATATACTTAATAAAACACGTGTCAGACTCTTAATATATTTGTGAAATTTAAACTTTCACTGTCCATTTATATAATAATTTTTGTATTTCATAACTACTGATAGTAACATTTGTCAAATTGATTAGTGAATCTTATGCATTTAGATGTAGTAGTAATAGAAAAGAGATTTGAATTTCATTTATAATAGGTCAATGTATCTTCAGGTTTTATTGAGTTTTTTTTTTTTTTTTTTTTTTTGAATCACTTTATGAGAACATTACTTTAAATTGATTTGGCGCATTTAGAAAAATTTTTTTGAGGTGTTTTCGCAAAGATTAAATCTTGATTGATAAGAAAAAAATTTTCTTTCTTAATCAATTAGCCTAATTCTTAGATTTTGGATCCTTAATTCCTTCCCAATAGGAAAAACAAAGGAAAGAAAAATTCAAGGAATCATTGGCTATGGCTAGTTTGAGTTACGGCTGACTCCAGAGTCCTAAATGAGTCCAAAACTTGAGCTCAGCAAAACTTCGTTGATTTTTAGGTCTTCATAAAAAATCAAATAAAATAAAAAAGAAGACAGAGAAAATTCGCTTAGTTGTTCCATACTGGGCCGTCCTGAAAATAATCCAAAAATAGGGGGAATCGTCTTGTCTATGGAAGGAACTTAATAGAATGAATTTATTTAAGTAAAATTAATTTTTTAAATGCCATTTTTTTTAGCAATTAGTGAATGAATTACAATTTTTGTTTTGTTTTGTTTTATTTTGTTTTGAAGTTATTAAATAATAAATTAGTAGTCTAAGAATCTTTTTTCACACTCAAAGCGTTTAATTTCTAATTCACATTTAAGTTATGACTTATCACATATTATTGTCTCCAATCAAGGATTTAATTTTTTTTAACATTTTAAATTGTCAGAATTCAAATTTAAATTATTAAATTTAGTATTTCACATGGGAATGGATGCAAGTTATAAAGTGAGATTTTATAGATACCCTTCAAAATTAGAAAGTAAAAAAAATTTTAAGGTTCATTTTCTTCTCAACACCTTCAAAATTTTTCCATGACACTCTTAAAATTTATGATTTTTTGTTAAATGATTGTTTAATTATATATATTAAGAATGATGTATTTGATAATATTAGCAATGATGCAATTATGGTTTTTTTTTTTAAATATAAGAACTCATCATGGATAATTATAAAAATATATCAATATATTATTTCAAATTTTTATATACAATTTTTTTTATGTATATTATAAGTATACATTTCGTGAAAAAAATCTTAGATCCCCCATCAACTCTTGATTATTAGCTTCATACAAGTGTTATTGCGGCTGTTAACCAAAAAATCAATTATTAGTTTGTGAGCAATTATTTTAATAAACTTTTATTACTTCTTTTGTTCCAAAATTATTATCTTTTATTGACTTTTTTGGTCAAATTAACTCAATGTTGACCATTATTTTTAATAAAATAATAAAATTTTAAAAAATAAGATTTGTAAACTGGGTTTTAAATTTTTTAGAACATATTTTTGTAAAATTTTAATTTAATATTATATTTTTAAAAATAAGATCAAAATAGATTTTTTTTAATAAAAAAAGTCAATAAAAAACAATTATTTCGAAACAAAAAGAGTATTAGTTTAATATAGAGTATTATATATTAAAATTTCAATTTCTCTTTAGAATATAGGATGTCACAGTAAGTGGATAAGGTTAAAATAAGCTTCTTGTCTTTTCATTTTTCTTTAATAAAATTCTTAATTTTATTTTTCATATCAAAAATTCAAATTCCAAATTCTTGAGTTGAATCCAGTCCTAGAGAAAAAATATCAAGAATGTTTTTGAGTTTCGGAAATTAATAAATTACATGAAAATAATAAAAATATTTTATAAAATATTTATTTTTTATGTGTAATTAAACAACCAAACACTTCTAACATTTTTCAAAAAACAATTGCTCAACACGAAGATATCAATTATTTATGGTCTCCAGATGTGAATTTAAAGAAGCATGATCACTTGAAATTAAAAATTCATGATTACCAAGTAGAACAAGTGCTAAACATCATGATTTTAAAACTCCCAAAATGTCCAAAACAAATACTCAATTAAAAAATTTTTCAGCGTTGGCATGTCCCAAAAATGTACATTTGGGTCTTATCTATAAAATTACCAAGTGATTAGTTCAATCGGTTAAGATCATTTTTTTCGATAAAAAAATTTTAAGTTCGAATCTTGTTAATAATTATTTATTAAAATAATCTCAAATGTACGACTTACAATCACTTACTTTAAATTGTTAAATATGATACATCTTACTCTGACATATAAATTGAATAATTTATTTACCTTGAATTTTTTTAAAAAAATTATATAAAGTAATAACATTGTAGCAAAAGTCCAAGCACAATGGAAATGTATTTATAAATGCAAAAAAATAAAAATAAAATTGGTATGATTATTTTTCGACACCTTTCATCTGAAACATCAAAACATGGAAGCTGCGATTCTCAGTCATTTCTTTTAATTAAAAATTATTAATTTCCTCGTAATTTTGTCTTCATCATCTGTAACACATTTTACTGATTATTTGCCCCACATCTTATAAAAACTAAGTATTTTGGTAAATAAATTAGAGCACGCTAAAACAAAATTAATATTAGTTTAGTGTAGTAGTGGTAAAATAGTTACCACTTCCAGCACAAGTTTTTTGGTGTCATAACACAGTCTAAGTAGTGGCTTGAGCCTAGTTTGACATTGCGATCCAAAAATTGTTATTAAAAGTTGATTCACCGTATCACAAGAAATCTTAAAAATTCCTTATATTTTGATATAAGAAAGATTAGAATAAAAAAATTATAAGTATTAAAATTCAAATCTTAAAATTTTTTAAATATTATTTTTAAAGATAATTATATTAATTAACTGCATTAAATCATAAAATTATTATTTTTAAAAAATAAATTTATTGCAGTTAAAATTTTCAATTACCATTTTTTTAAGAGCTTTTTCAACATTATACAAGATCAAATTCAATAATTAAAATAAAACATAACCCTGATCGTGATGAAAATAAGATTTTTTTTTTTTTTGATAAAAGAGTCTATTTATATTCCAAGGTGTAATAATTTTAAATTTTTTATGCAAATCACTAACTAATTTGAGATGTAATTTTCTATAAATTCATACAGAATACTCTAATTCCAATAATAAAAATTTTTTTCACAAAAGCGTATGACCCCATCATGCATTTTCTTTACCCAAAGGCTCCCTGTTTTTTGTAATAAAATTTTAAGATAATTGAAAAGAAAAAAAATACCTTTTTTTCTTTATTTTTTCTTTTTATTAAGTCTAAAAGAAAGGCATTTTATTGCTTTTTTGATGTGAATTACGATTGTGCCAAAAGCCACTAGCAGGCTCACTTTCGCATCATCAACGAACGAAGCACACGTTAGCATACTAAAATCACCAACTCGAAAGCTAACAAAATTTTTATTCGAAAAATTACAGTTTCCGATATAAAAAAGGAAAAAAATTAAATCAGAATTGAAAATTACACAGAAAAAAAAAAAGGACAACAAAAATTCAATAAACAAAAAAAGCTACAAGTTTTGTTGAACATAATTTTAATTTTTAATTTTAATAAAAAATTATCAAAATTAAAAAGTAGAGTTTAATTTACTCTGGAATAGTAACCAGCATCGGTCGCCAGGCTCTCCTTAATAATCTATATCGTAACGACGCGGTCACAGGCCTCAAAGAACCGGAGCCCCAACTTGAAAACCCATCTCTGGATTTCACGGTAACCGGTAATAAATTTTCCATTTCTTCTTCACAGCTTTTATTGTTATTCTCTCTTTCTCCAAGCGGCGGCGACGCTACGAAGAGTTCCTTTAATTTTCGCCTGCTTTTCTTCCCGTTGGAGTATTTCTTGCTGTCGGCGTTGGAGGAGGTTGGCGGTGGCGGAGGTGTAGGTATAGGTGTAGGTGGAGGAGGATCGAAGTTGTTGTTGTCGTCGTGGCGCCGGCAAAAACGACGACGTTCTGAGGCGGAAGAGTGGTTGAAGAGCATGCGAAGGGTTTTACGACGGCGGAGGTGCGCGACGGGGCTGGTGGTGGGACTACGACCTGGACTTCCCACAACAGCGCACTGCGTAGCCAAAAGCTTGAATTTGTGAAGAGTGGCCATCGGTTTGAATTGTGTTCTCTCTCTAGAAAGCTTGGGTATTTAGAGAGAGAAAAGAGGGCAAGATCAATTTAGAAAATAAAAAAGAGAGTGAGATCTAAAGAGTAAGAAAACAGTTAGCATTTGATTCTTTGTGTTCTTAATTAAAATAATTAAAAAAACAAGAAATTTATTTTTATTTATTTATTAAAAAAAGGGGAAGAACAGAATAGAATAGGAACAGCAAAAAAAAGTTAAAACAGAGGGGCCTTTTGGATTGGGGGGCGGAGATTATCTCTATCTGTTTAGGCCTTTCTGGTAAATTCACAATAATGTGACAAGTGGAAGAGAACCGGAGGATTTGGAATTTTAATTTAGAGTTCTGGATGGGGACCGGACTAATAGGACAAAAGTCTCGAAAAGGCCATGGTTTGGATGAAGAAGTTGTATTTATTTCACCAGCAAATGTAGAAAAATACAAAGAAAATGTTATTTTCCTAGGCTGTGAACTACCCCCAAATAATATATTCAAATGTTTCTAGATTCTAAAGTTTGGAATATTTTTTGTTGAAATTGGTACGACATTATTAGAATATGCTAAATAAATTTATTCTAAAATAATTCAGTACGAATAAATCAGACTTTGATAAAAAAATAAAAATGATATAATTTAAAATTTTTTAAATTTTATATAGATTTGATAAAATTATAAAATATGTTATATATTTTTATATTAATATAAATTATAATAAAATAATTTTTTTATTTTATATAAATTTAATATGATATAAATACGATATAAATATATAACTTATTAAATCTAAAATATAAATTTAATAAAAAAACACAACCTTTTTGCTTTCCTACAAAGCTTTTTACAATTTTATATTTTGATTTAGAGTTTATATTTGATGACTTTGAGTTATAAATCTTATATACTATTAATCAACCACAAAGACACTTCATGAAAAAGTTAATTTTAAAATTTTAAAATATCAAAAAGTAAATACATTTAATTTTAAAAAATATATTTAAAATTCAATTTTTATAAAATGTCTTGATTTAATAATAATGTGTAGCATTTATGTATTGTTAATGCATCAAATATAAATTAAAAAAAAAAAAAAACCTGATTTGCCAATCTAATCTTTAACTGTTAAATATGTGAAATTTCCAGGTCAATCAACATTAAAGATGGCTTCCAGTGCATCTGTGAATCGTAAGCTCAAAATTATAGACGATATATTAGTTTAACAACAATTTACATGTAATGTTCTATCAGAGTTTATAATGCATTAGTTCCCTATATATCAAAGTGCTAGGTAGCTGCATTCCAGAACCATATGTTTTCAAGCATTTCCTATTACTTGATCAAATGTTTATTGCATGTCCGCAAGGTATATCACCATTACAATTTCGCTGATGGAAAAGAAAATCCTGAACTGTGAATGCTGCTGGCATGCACTCTCCTCTGCAATCCCATCATGAGCAGAAGACTGATTACATCGATCTTATCTGCATCTGGAAAATAAAGCAGATGAATTAGGTTTCGATTTTCTTTTTGTCATATTCTAGCTGTTATGGTGTTCAGCCATTTTCCTAATGCAGAACTCAAATTGAAACAGTATAGATATCACTAATTACTACTAAAGTATGTGACATGGATCCCTAACATAAACATATATAGCATGATCTTGCTAGAGCTCAATCGATCAACTATATAATCATGTTGTAATTATACAATACTTTTTTATTATCTACAGTAGAATTTTTGTATAAAAAAAAAAAAGAGGAAATGCCTTCTGGTTTGAAACTAAAAGGAATTGGTGTAGTAATAATAGAGCTGCTAACCCATTTATCAGTCACTGAATCAGGAGAAAGCGGAGGAGGAATGTGCTTCAATAGTCCAACATCATCTGATCTAATATCCACCACCTCTGCTGTTTGGACTCCCAACTCTTCATTATGAATTTCTCTCAATGTCTCCAGCACTTCTTCCATTGAAGGTCTCATATCCCTCTCTTGTTGCAGACACTGAAAAGCCAGTTCTGCCACTGCCGTCACCATTCTTTTCACAGCAAAATCGTTCTCAAATCCAAGAGATGGATCAACCAATTCATGCAATGCATGATTCTGGATTCTGCTGACAGCCATTTTAGCCAAATTAATATCATGTCGGTGCCTATTGGTGTCCACAGCCTGTTTTGCTGAAATAAGCTCAATCAAGACCACTCCAAAACTATAAACATCACTTTTCTCGGTGAGCTGGTAGCATTGGTAATACTCAGGATCAACATAGCCCGGTGTGCCTTGTGGAGCAGTTGAGACATGAGTAACATCATTAGGAAACAATCGTGAGAGACCAAAATCAGCCACTTTTACGCGGAAATTCTCATCTAGAAGAATGTTGTTGGTCTTAACATCGCGATGTATAATATCTGTTGCATGGAGGTAAGCCAGTGCATTTGCTGTCTCTACAGCAATATTCAACCTAACAGGCCAAGTAAGCAAACCAGAGTTTGACAGCTTTCCATGTAAATGATCAGCCACAGTTCCATTAGGAATGTACTCATAAACAAGGAGAAGTTCTCTGCTACGTCTCGAGGTGCATCCATAGAGTGTGACAAGGTTTGGATGGCGTATGCGAGTGAGGATTGCGATTTCATTCATGTACTGATCAACACGCTTGAAATTGCTCTCGTATAGGCGCTTAACTGCAACTACACGCCCATCATTGAGTACACCTGATCAAGCAAATTGAAGGGCAGTTAAAAGAGAAGAAATAAAATACTTAATGAAATGAAAGATCTAGGATTTTTTTCCGGAGATATCTACTTATAATATATATAAAATAACAGTCAATAGATTTACCGATTTTATTGAGAAGAAAATTTTGGAATGTCTAGGAGAATTTTTTTTCTTCAATTTTTTTTTCTAATCTTTGAGGGCTACTGCCTCATTTGAATCCGCCTTTGACTTCAAAGGCCGAGTTATATAGGAAAATAAAGTTTGAGAAGTCAATTTCTTACCATAGTAAACAGTTCCAAAGCCTCCTTCTCCAAGTTCTTTAGAAGGATTGAAATTTTCAGTGGCTTCCTCAAGTTCTTCGTAGCTAAAGACATGGGCTCCAAAGTAGGTGCTCCCCTTTTCAAGGCCATATATTGAGATGGGATGTGAATGAATGGTTTGAGACAGATTACTTGTAGAAGTAGGTGGTCCATTGTTTGAGGGAGGTGTTGGAAGGTCTCTGCTCTTAATCTGGTCTGCAATTTTCTTTCTCCTTTGTTGTCTGCAGCTGAAAAATCCCACGCCCAGAAGTATACCAGCTATAACTGCACCAGCTATTGCAAGGCCTAAGGATAAAGCAAGAGATTCCTGAGCTTTCTTTCGGCAATACTAACATTTCTGGAAACGATGCAATATATTAATAATGTTACCAAATAATACCTATTGTACGGCCAACATTGGTTTTCTTTTCGCCTGCAACAGCAAAAAAATCTGGACATTTTAGTCAAAGTATGAAAGACAAGAAAAAAGACTATATGAACCTGTCAATCAAAAGATTTATGTGAAATAAATTCAGACCTCATAAATTCGCTAATGCACATATCTTTCATATCATATAGGGTTCTGAATTTTCAAAACATGTGCTTTTACATTATTTAGCTATTTAATGAACAAAATGCGAAAAGAATGGGTAAGTAAGATTCTTAATTTGACTGCAATGAAACTTTAAATTAGCAATAAGCTGTAGCCTGCAAGCAATGTGGACCAGAACAATGGCATTGATAAGTGGATCAATTCATATTGTGTTCCCGGTTAGCCATCCCAGAGAACTGAAAGTTAAAGCTGCAGATTGCAAACATGTTTCAGGAATGTTGCCTGATTGGTGACTGATGCTCTAGCTTCTGGATAGTTGAATTGTTTCAGTTTATATATTTTGGATGTATTTATTCAGACAGAGATGACCTCACATATTTTGACTATCTTGGGCTGAAATTGTTGACTTATATTTGAAATGTGATGAAAAAGAAGGCTTGGGTTTAGAAACAAGGAAAAATCCAGGTGGGTTTTATTTATTAGCCTCTATTTTGGGTTTTGGTTAGTTATTTAATGTGGGTAATGTGACATGTTTGAATAGTTTATGAAAAGGATTTGAGTGATTGAATCCATTTTGGAGGATGAAATAAAGTTTGAGATAGATGGAAAGGTGGTTGAGCTAAAGTTTACAAGGAAAATTGTTGGAAATTTTGATGTGCTTGGGTAAGAAAATTGATTTTCAAAGAAAAGTTTATTAGTAGTATATATTTAAATAAAAAATTTTTTAATTTATATTTGATTTTCAAAGTGAATTGAGATTTTTGACTCAATAGTAAGGAAAAAAAATTATTACACTATGCCTATGTACCAAAATAATAATAATAATAATAATAATAATATTTGAAGTTATGCTCCAAGTACGCTTCACTTGACTTGCAACATTAACATAAAAATATTGTAAAAAACATAACTATCTCTATTTCGAATCCATATAATAAAAGTGCTGAGATCAAATTGTAAATTGAACACATTTTAGAAATGAAAAACAAATAAAACACATGACAAAGCAAGTGGGAAACGTAGAATTTTTTAGCTTAGCTAGTGCCACAATCAACTGACGTTATTGGGGTGACTAGAGCTAGTGCTCCTTGCGGTCAACTTGAATTGCATAAAATACACGACATGGAAGTTTCAAGCTGAGATCACAAGTAAGAATGAAATGAATGCAGATAAATATATATTTATATATATATATATATATATATATATTGTGCTAAGCCGCCTCTACAGGTAATTTCAAAAATTTTTTGCTTTACTATATAAAGAATAGTGAATCCTTGAAGAAGGTTAAGGATTTTAACAGTATTAACTGCCAACATAGTAAGTGAAGATATTTTCGTTTGACAGTTTCCCCTGACAAACTCATTTTCCTTCATTCCAGGTTTGTTTGGAATGATTCATGATCACAATTCACAGTTCCAATAAAGGTGAAAAAAATTAAAATTTGCATACGAAACAGGCTGATTGAATTGATCACAATGTCAAACAAGGAAAAGTAGTTGGATGACTATGGGAAACATACAATTAGAGCTACAGAACGATAAATTGGAGTTAGTAGCGGGGACAAAAGAAATTTAACACCAGTCTTTGAAGGTTTTTATGTTGAATTGTAGAAAATCTTTGATTTGCAGCCTAAGGGAAACTGCTTCTCTTCTAAAACTAGTGATAACTAATGCCATCCGGAGCAGTTTCAGTCACCCTCTACGATAAACCTAAGACGATTTCGAAGAGATTTGGATATGAAAAACGATTTTACATTGGAACGTTTTGGTGATGAGGAATGCCCTTGCATATGTGCAACTACCACATGAATTTAGGTTTCTTAAGAAATGATTTGGATTAGGATGAGCAGGTTTACGATTGGAGTTACAAAGTTCACAGATGAAAAGGAACTTGTAACGGGAATAATCCGGAAACTGAAATCCTAGGACTTAAATATAGCTAAACATCCAACTACAAAAGATTTTAAAAGGCATAACAATAACGAAGATGCACCTGGGGGAGCTTGTGGGACAAATGTCGGAATAAGATCCATTTGTGCAGTAACATATAAATTCACCTGAGGTGAGGTTGTGCCCACACTGTCCACGAGAGTTTAGACATGAGTAACAGAGGGAATTGTTTGCAGACTACTGCAACTCAAAACCAACTGTAAGCGCTTCTTGCAGAGTACTTGAATTTCGATTTTCCTTCAATGATTGAACCTCTGAATTCAGGACTGGAATAATGACAATGTTATTGCCCCAATGAATTGCTTATCAAAGTGGCTAGGCCTCCAAAGGATGTTTCTATGATGTTCCTTGTCACATAATAACCTATGATATTTGTTTGGTATATTATGCCCTCAAATTGACTGGAAATCCCCCTAGTCTGAATTGATGTTAGATTTTCTAGACCTGTAAGAGGCTGACAACCATAATACAGCCTTATATCCTGGGTACCCTTGTTGTATCAAGGACAATTATTGTCGGTGTAATCAATTCTAGCTACTTCAAGGACTTGTGTACGACTACTTACATTAAGGACTCGGTAAGTCGCTGACATGACTGTAATCTCTGGAATATCTCCGTCGCAGTTGAGCCTAAAGCCAGGGTAGCCACAACTTTCTGGATGATCCAATCACCAGAAAGCGTAACCAATATTCAGAATGGTTCCGCAAGGGAATAGTGCACTGCAGCTAGAAATATTTCCATCGTTGGCAAACACAGAATTTGGAGCAGGAATCAGCACCAAGCTTATGATAATGAAGATCCAAAATTTAGAAAGCAACAAAGGGGATGCACTTTTGGAGAGAAGGAAAGGGCTGGAGAGGACTAGGTAGAGAATTAGAAGTGCTCGGATATAAAATGAGACGCTGAAGATGGATAGTTGGTTTTAATCATCATTGTCAATTTGATGGCCTTGACGAAATGGAAGGTGAAATTTTTAAAAAGGAAGCTTTATTGGCACCATTAAAAACTGTAGCCTAGTAATAATATATTCTTGAGTTGCTATTCTAGCCCTCTCAATACTCAGAAGGTGTAAACTCAATTCGAGTGTCTTAAAAAGTCGAAGAAATCAGCAATTGAAAAATATCAACTGATTTTATAATTGAATAAATTAAATATCGAAATAGACAAACTGGGTTTTTTTGGGATTAAAATTACAAGGTCAACAAGATGAGACCAATCTTCTACAGCTTTGGTCCTTGTACAGTATCACTAACATCCAGGGCATTGATTTTAATTAGGATGGAACTAATGCCACAAAGTCGCTTAGTTATAGAATTCAGGATTGCTTTGAATCATTTTGACACAGAGAGAGCAATCCTGAGAAATTATTGTCTAAAGGTTGAAGTTATTTGAGGAACAACCATTATCAGAGCCTAAAACTCTCCTATTGAAGAATGTGATTAATCTCAGAGATACAAGGGTACATAAGCAGAATCCCTACAAATCTAAGCTTAGGGTAGCGGGAGATCAAAGATCAAGGGACACATGGAACTTATGAGAAAAGTTGCAGCTTTCACGTCAGAACAGACTAGTTACTAAAAGTTTGACCAGGTCAGAATTGATCCTTAATCCTTGAGTTCAAAATATATAGAGAAAGGTTTAGGTTTAACAAATTACTTTTTACTTACTACAGTCAAACTTTAAAATTTATGTATAAGTGGAGACAAAATGTTTAATTTCACCTTTTTCCGCAATGTTTTAATATTTCTTTCAATATTTAATAATTATGCTTAAAATGATATTAAATCCGAATCATCTGTTCAATTTTACATGTATTTCTTCTCTCTTATTCAAGTTATGTTCAAATTTTCCTTTTTTTCTCAAATTAAAAAAAAATGATATAAATATAAAAGTTACTGTATAAATTTTGTTTTTTAAAAGTATTACATAATAGAAAAATTACTCGTGCCGTGTTGATAAAACTTTAAGAGTTCTTATAACGGTAAGTAGAAATTTATTTTATTTTATGTGATAATTAATTTTTTTTTTTGTGATAAAAAATAAATGTAAAATATTATAATAAAAAAATTTATATTTGATATATTATTAATAAATAAATTTTATAAATTATTAATAAATTAAATAATACGATTTTATTAATAAATAAATATATAAAAATTAATATTTTTAAAACATTTATTTATTAATAAATTAAAATTATTTTGATTTATTTTATTAGTAAAATTATATTATCTTATTCATTAATAATATATAAAATTTATATACAAAAAATGTATCAAATATAAAAAATTGAAGTACATACCTCGGCGAGGAGGGCATCCGGTTTCCTCCCAATAAGATAAATTTTTTTCGTTTAGGCAGTAGCAAATCGTTTGATTTTCAGGGCCAAAACCACATGCTCCTCCGGTTCCGATGCACTTCGGACATGCTTGGCTATCCAGCTTCCATTTTACCTCAAATCCTTTGTTTAATTCTCCTAGAAGAAATGGGTAATCGAAGAATTTTGCAAACGGAGATCGAAGAACCGGAACAGTAACATTAGCAGAACATGGCACAGAACTAATAACTTCGGCCGGTCCGACCCAAAAGTCCTTGTAACCTTTTATATTTTCCGGGCAATTTAAGTGTCCGAGAAAAGTCGTTGGTGTGAAATCGCGGCAACCATAAAGCAGAGTAACGTTGGAATAAGGAGGATCATGGACGAAGTCGAAGAGCTCATAATCAAGGGTCGAATTTGGAAATTCTGGGTTACATAAATCATTCTTGATGAAGTCCTGCCTCGCAATCCTTAGTGTTTGACGATCCCGATCGATATCCAGCACCTGATATTTCACATTAACGATTTCTATTGTAGGAGTATCATTTTCACAATACAATTGCAGACCAGGATGTCCACAACCCCATGGTATGCCATCTCCAAGAAAAGGATACCCAGTAGAGATGTTCCAACATTTGAACTTTGGATCACTACACTCCGTGTAACCGTGAGGGTAGCCTAATGACTGAGGAATCCCACGCACGACTTGGAATACGAAAATAATAAGAAGGGGAAAAAGTGATGACGGGGAACGGCGGTGGTTCATTTTCTTTTGCTGTGAAGAGAAGGGATAGAAGAATTGAAAGATTATTTGTGAACAGTGTGTGTTAGTTTGAGGAGATCATACTTTGCGTCAGATGAAGTGTGGGAATTTGATACCAAGTTTTCAATGGAAGTGTAGAGGAAGGAAACAAAGACTTGATAACTTGAAAAGCATTTAGTTGACTTGAAAGACTTTAGATAGCGGCATTTTTTCCAGGGGCATTGATTTAATTCCGAGGGAAACGTGTGAGTGATGTCAAAACAAAACAAAGCTGCATGAAATTGCAGTTCGCAAATTGGACAGTCTTACAGTCTACGGAGAAAAAAAGGAAGACCATTTAACGCGCTTTGCTTTCCAAGTGCTTGCAGTGAAGTTTCCTTTTGACTTTGTATATGAAAGTTGGAAAGATATTTGTTCAATTACACCGTGCATACAACGGTATGGTCCTACTGGACTGGGCAAATTGGAAAAGGAGGTAAACCAGTCGTTAATCATGCCAAGTGAAGCCTGGGAGCAGTTGTTGAATCATCCAAGCATATTTTACTCTTTCAAACTCCAACACTATTCAATTTTATTTGACAAAAAAAATCAGTAGCCTGAATATGAATCCCAAATTACTTAAATTCACCGAAACTCCAACCACAAAAAATAAATCAAACTTAAATTAAATATAATTTAATTTTTTTTTAAATAATTTAATAAATATAATAAATAACAGAATCTAATTGTTTATTTATATTTATTAACTTTAAATTATCTTTTTATTTTTGTTGAGGATTTTTTAACTTATTAATTTTAAATTATCTTTTAATTTTGTTGATGATTTTTTAATGCACAGTAACAAATTTAAATAATTCAAAATATCAAACTCGAATATCTTAAATTTGAAACATTCCAATTTTTCTCAACTCAAATTGTTCAATTTGAAGTCACTTCATCCAAATCTAACCTGATCAACCCATTTAACACACTTACTTTTCACACAACAAATTGAGTTTCAATATAAATAAATTTTAAGAGATAAATGTTGAATTTACTTTTGTATGGGTCAATTATAATGAATTTTTCCGTGTATCTTCTATTTCAATAAAATTTGTTATTCTAATTATAATTTTGTTGAATATTTTTAACATAATTGATGAAAATTTGTAATCTGCATTATAGAATATTTCATAAAATACGTTTAATTTCATTATATTTTATCCTCAAAAACTCATAAAATTGAAGATACAATGATAAAATTTATCATTTGCATCAATAGTATATTGTGTAAAATATTTTAATTTCGCTATTTTGTTAAAAAATTAATAAAATTGAACGTACAATAATAAATTTAATAAAATTAAAATACAGTGATAAAATTCTATATATCAAGTTATAATATAGTGACAAATTTAACCTTAGTCTCATCTTTTTAAAGTACACAAGTATTTTGTCAACACGCGATTAAGGATTTTTTTATTTAAATATATATTTTTAAAATACTTATACTAAAATATTTATATATAAGTAATTATTTACTTCATTTATATGAAAGAATGATTTAGGATATTTAAGTGATAAAAATAATTTTTTAATATTTTAATAGTAAATAGCTTTGAGTGAGTGAGCTGGGCCTGACCCCTCCATAGGTATCTGACATACTCATCAATGTAATTGATATAATTATTATTTTTGTCTTCTTCTATCAGTGATTAAGAGGCTTTAAAAAAATATACGAACGTGAGTTTTAATTTTAAATTTTTTGCACGGATATTTATCTTTTTTTTAATTAAAAAAATTATTAGTTTTTAAAAAATATTTATATTCGTAAGTATAATTATTAGAATTTGAATAATATAATGAATCATTTGAGGTATGGAATTACTTGATCAATGATAAAATTATTGGATTAATCAAATCAATTGAATCAATAAAAATATTTTAAAAATATAAATATATTTAAAATTAATTAGTTATGTGATAAATAATAAAATTTTATAGTATATAATTTCATACTTATAAATTAAAATATATAACATAATTTAATAACTGTGAAAAAATATATATTTTAAAAATATTATAACAAGTTTAATTTACAAAAATAAAATTCAAATTCAAACTCTTAAGCCAAACTCTCAAAATACTAGTCAAATAATTAAATTATATTGATTTAATGAAATAAATTAAAGTAAATACCTTAAAGAACTAAAAAATACAAAAAGAAAAAAAAGAAAATTCTAAGCACATGAAAATATAAATTAAAAAATTATACATTCAAAATGATGATATTTAATGTAAACCAATCAAGCTTCAAATTGGTGGATAAACTTTTAATTTTAACCAATCAAAGCCTTTATCTTTAGTTTGATATGAGTGTGATACATAAAAATTAAAAAAAAAAAAAAAAGAAAAAGGACTATACCTTATAAATTTATTCTTTAATGTACAAAAAGTACAGAGGATGGCGAAAGCATTTTATTTAGATTTTAACGTTTTAATGTCCATTTTACTTTTAAAATGTTATTTTAATTAAATAACATAACAACTCATAAGTTTAATTATAAAATCTAAATTAATCATAATTTTTTAAGATCATTTTATCGGCAAATTTGAAACCCATCTAATGCATTTATTTATTATATTGATCCATTGGTTCAATACAGTTTAAAAATGAATTAATTACAAGTTTAGTTTAATAAGAGAATCGGACTGGTCTGGGTGTCAAGTTGAAAGTTCAACTGATCCGATCAACGGTTAAATTCGATTTACCATAACGATGCTCCTAAGCTTAATGTATATTAACATTCGTGGTAAATCAAAAGTATATTTCATGTTTCAAATTCTTTCAATAATAGAAGTGTAATCATGAAATAAATTAAAAACAATTTTAAAAATAGTTATCTTACTATATAATTTTGATTCAACTATTAATAAAAAAAAACCATAATTTATATTACCTTTCTCATATTTATATTTATTTAAATGTATAAGCATATTATATATGTAGCGTAGTTAGATTAAATGTAATTTATTTTTTAATTAAAATACTCATAATTCCAAAACTTATTAAATTAAAGAGTAAGATGCAGCTGGGTCAAGTGGCTCAGTGGCTAACTAGGCCTGTGGGCTAAACCCAATTTCCAAGTTCTAGACACGGGCCTAACCCGATTCAGGTCAAGTTCTGAACAAAATATGTTAAGCTCAAATTTGGTCTACACAACATAAATACTGATATTAAATTTAATTCTAATAAAAAAAGTTAAATTATGAAGTGCAAAAAATAGTAGGAAAGTGAAAAGTATAGCATAAAAATATTTTAATATTTTAGTAATAAATTTAAATTAAATAGATAGTCAGAACTTTGAACAAAATTTTTAAAAGTAATTGATTGAAAATTACTATCATATAACGAAAAAAAAAAAAGAAAAAAAAAAGAAAAAACGAAGCATATTATTTTTTAAAAATTTATATATGATTTTTATTTAGCCAAATTCATCGTTCGGATCAATATTTCTTTTAATTATTGAATCTCTATTTAATTGATTATTAATAATACAGAAAATTTTTTCAATGGCTAGAATCCATTACTTGAACAAAATTAAATTTTGTAAAATCATATTGAACATTGGACGATACATTTTGTCCCTTACTAAAAAGCCAATCCCGATTTATCAACTGAAATATATAAAATATTGTTATCAAAATTGAATTGTACATCCAAAATAAATATTATTACCAAAACGGAAATTTGACATGTCCCCCCACTTCCAAGCCGGTGAGCAAACAAAACACCTATCAAAGAGTATCAAAAGTCACCATAAAACACCTTTCAAGAGTATCAATAGTCACATAAATACTAAAAAATCTGAGATTCCTAATGAAATATTAAACAAAACAACTTTGCCCCTAAATCATTGTCACCTACTGCCACTAAATCACCGCCTCCCCAGGTCAAACTGGTGCTCCTTGTTATCATTTTTTCCGGTGTCGTGTTATTAAAAATTTTTCACTTCATTTGTTCCCATGTCAGATTATTTAAAGTTTTTCACGTCATTTTTTCCCGTGTCATGTTATTAAAAATTTTTTTAATATCATTTTTTCCCGTGTCATGTTATTAAAATTATAATGTTAAATTACATCACGTTAATATTTTTTCATAAATTTTTTTTCAATGTTTTGTTTTAAATTGCCTCCAATAAATTTACCAAATTGGACACATGCAATGCAGCTTTGATCTCTGCATTGTTTCAAAATAAATAACATTTATAGCCAGACATCTACATACTGAACTTGTTTTAAACAAAAAAATGAATGTAGACAAATAGGTACTTAGCACCAGCTATTTCATGTATATCCCAATTCACATGAAATGAAACAAAGAAAGACAAAAGAGAGCAAAGACAGGGACCGCTAAACCCAGGTTCCCGTGAGTTTTTAACAAACATATCTGTCATTTTATTAACAACAAAGCATGTTACCCCGGAATTATGCAGAGGAAAGTGTCAATAGCTATTGTCATTCACAATGCCATGTAGTTTTCTTTCCAAAACTTCTGAACATATCTGCCCCATCATGTGGTAGAATGACATCAGATCAGACAATTGATCCACTGACATTTTCCCCATCATATTTCTTGCTAATCTTTCCCTTTCTTCATTTAACTTCAATTTTTCAATGTAATGACTCCCATTTCTCACTGTTGCTCCCATCTGCTTCAGCCTATTCTCTTGTTGCACACTAAGAGCTGTGTTTGACTGCAAGCAGATAACACAGTTGATCAATGAATTGACTTTATCATATTATATCTATATTCTGCCTGAACTATCATGAAAAGTTACCACAAATGATCTCGAAACTATCTTGAAAAAGGTTAATATAAAAATTGGCTCCTAAATTATAATATAAATTGTAATAAAATAATTAATGTGATATTTAAATTTTTAAAAATCTTTAAACTATTATTAATTAATGTATTACTCACCTTTAATAACATCCTTAATTAGATAATATATTCATAATTTAAATAGAGATTTTTAAAATTTAGTATTGAATATTTTAATATACATTAAATATTTCAATTTAGTTTAGAGTCATCCGTGACATGAAGAATTGGTATTCTGAAATGTTTTGCTAATCAGTTCTCAGTTTTATTGTGTCACCTCAAGAAATTCTGCTCCAGCTTGAAGTTCAGATTCTTTAGAAGTATGCATCCCACCTCCAGCAGTGTACAAATTCTTTGCAAGTGAGAAGCTTCGAACTATAA